AAAATTAAATTTCTTTGTTTATTATTTTAGTGGTGGCTAATAGGGTACAGTTTAACATTTGGCACTTCAACAACAAAATTCATCGGCAGTGCTGAATTTGCTTTCTTCCAAGGTGTAGATATGACTCCTTATTCTCAGACATATCAAATACCTAGAATCGTATTCGCAATGTTCCAATTGATGTTCGCCGGCATCACTCCCGCTCTCGCCTTAGGATCTGCTGCTGAACGTGGTCGTATATTACCAAAAATCGTTTTTATCTTTGTTTGGACTACTCTTGTATATGATTTCATCGCTTGTTGGTCTTGGAATTCAAATGGTTGGGTTAGTGTTATGGGTGGTTTAGATTTTGCTGGTGGTACTCCTGTTCATATCTCTTCCGGTTGTGCTGCTCTCGCTTATGCACTAATTCTTGGTAAACGTCATGGCCATGGTACTACTGATTTCAAACCTCATAATATTGCAAATGCTGTTCTTGGTTGTTTTTTTCTTTGGTTTGGTTGGTTCGGATTTAATGGTGGTTCTGCTTTGGCTGCAAATGCACGTGCTGCAATGGCTTGTGCCGTTACAAATTTGGCCGCTGCTGTTGGTGGCTTAACTTGGGTTTTAATGGATTATCGATTGGAAAAGAAAATATCTGCTCTTGGTTTCTGTTCTGGTGCTGTTTCTGGCCTTGTTGCCATCACCCCTGGATCTGGTTTCGTTGGTACACCTGCTGCCGTAGCTTTTGGTGTTATTGGTGCCTTTTTCTGTAATATTGCTGTACATTTAAAGCACATTTTCGATTTTGATGATGCGTTGGATGTGTTTGCAGTTCATGGTGTCGGCGGTTTAGTCGGAAATCTCCTCACTGGCATATTTGCTCAAAAATCAATTGCAGCTCTTGATGGAACTATTATTGCAGGTGGTTGGTTAGATGGAAACTTTATTCAATTGGGCTATCAACTTGCTGATTCTGCTACTGGTATGGGATACTCGTTCGTTATGACATATATCATTTTATTTATAATGGATAAGATTCCTGGATTATCTCTTCGTGCTGACCCTGAATCTGAGGCAATGGGTATCGATGAAGCAGAACTAGGTGAATTGGCCTATTATCATATTGACAAAATTATTTCTGTAAACAAATTAACTGGTGAGACAAAAACTGTTAAAGAAGAAACAATACTTCAAAACAGTGATGCGAACGTTTCCATTGTATAAGATCAATTGCATTTTATCTACATATATTTAGTATTTTTTGCATTTAAAAAATTTCATTTTTTTTTTTAAATAGAATATCATTAAACATTTATGACATACCAATTTCTTTTTTTTTCAAAAAAAAAAAAAAAAGTACAGGGTTCTGTAAATATTTTCTAAATGTAGTATTAGGATTTGGTATTTTTTGGTATCAGTTTGTTAGGTTTTTGTTTTTTTAGCAGAGGACAATTGGTGTATTTGATTTTGAATGAGGATTTTGTATTTTATAGATTATTTTGGGATTAAGTGATACATAGCTGTATGTTATCATAGCATTATAATAATAATACATTAAATACTGTCTATTACCAATGTTTTAACAAATTAAAAAAAAAATTTTTTTTTGACTACATAACTTCATTCATTGCTCTATCTTGACTAATATTTATAAAAAAAAATCTTTACTATTTCCAGAATACGAGATATTTCGCATGGTAAAAATATGGTTCTCCAATGTGAAATGTTTCCAGCTATAATAATGTTATACTAGTGAATTGACTCGACAAAAAAATCATTGACCAAATTTTGCTTAATTGATCAAAAATCAATTAAATAAACTTGATCGAGTATGATCGATCAAGCATGTAATTTATAAGCTCGAATATATATATAATCGATCATTATCAGGTCAATAATTAATCGATTATATCCTATCTACTAAAAAATTTTCTTGATCGATCAAATTCAACTATCTGATCGGATCATATTTTTGATCTAGCCTACAAAATCATGTTCGATTATTGACTCAACTCGATCATTAATCGATCATGTTATAGTCAAGTCAATTCACTGTTATACAGGTCATTAGTTTTTTGAAATAAGGCAAAAAGTTTCCACAGCACATGCATATGAGCATTTGATAAAAACAAAAATATATTTTTATTCTCAAATTTTTTAAGTGAAGCATTTAATTCCCTAAACAGGGTTGATCATTAACTACGATCACAGAAAACAACGAAATTTTTCTTAAAAACAGCTAACCACAGAAATCATCCTTTGTCACTGCAGAATATCACAAAATTCTAAAATAACGAAGTATTAACATAATTTCATTTCGGACCAGGAAATCTCAAAAAGGTAGACAATAAATCAGCGTAAATTAGGCTCCTTATTTTCTGCGACAATAGACCCAAATTCTGCA